ACACACACACACACACACACAAACACACACACACACACACACTCACTCACTCACTCACTCACTCACAATCAATCAATCAGTCAATCAATTAATCAATCAATCAATCAATCAATCAATCAAACCCCTTTTTTGTTTTTTTTAATTTTTAAATTCTTCATCTTCATTTTTTTAAAACACCTCATACCCCTGCAAAAAACAGAAATTCATTTCTCAAAAAAATACAGGTCAACTCAGGGACCATATATCTCATGATAAAAAATGACAAAAAAAATATCCTGCTTTTCTTTATATATATATATTTTTAATTTCTTTAAATCCAATTTAGTTTTTGATTTTGTAAAAATCCTAAACAAAGTCGAATTCCAAAAAAAAAAAAATCTGGCTGTAGGGCTTAAAATTCCCTACAACCCCCTTTTTTTTTGTTACCTATTATTTAATTCAGGAAAATTCTGGTAAAATCGGGTCCGCGGCGCGGACCAGGACGGCCGCGGACGCGACTGCATATGCAACCGCCATCCGAGATCGGACCCACGGACGTGTCCGCGGGTGTTTCATAGAACGCCACTCTCACACGCGTCAACACCATCGAGGCTCAGGCCTCAGCAGCGCCAGGCTGCACGACAGACACGGCAAAGCAGCTCGGGGAGCGCATCGACCATGTCGTCAACCTGATCGGCGAACTAGGTGACTTTACCAGTCCGGCCACAATCAGCAGCATGGTGGCCGCCATCAAGACAGACATCACCAAACTGCGGTCACGACCGGAAGCCGCTACCGTGACAAAGGCATACAAGATGCCACGCTTCAACATCAGCAAGTTTGACGACTACAACAAGACGGACGCTTTAACATGGTGGCAAGCCTTCCTCACCGAAGCATCCTGCCACTCTGTACCTGCTGAGGATATGATGAAAGCGCTCTACCTCCAACTCATTGGAGGAGCATAGGCATGGATGAACCATACCGCGACCAATCTGGGATGTACCATCGTCCAACTGCACACGCACATTCCGTGGAAGCAGTTCGAGCAAATGTGGCACACTCGATTCATGGTCCGCAACGTCATAAAGGCGGCCATGAACGAGGTCTACTCCAGCTCGCAAGGGAACATGCCAACTCGAGACTGGACGATCAAGTGGCAGAAGATAGTGACCACTCCAGGCTTCGACTTGAGTTTCCCAAACCAATGATCCGAGTTCTTTTCGCGATCGTGCGCAGGACTGCGGTCAGCACTCGGCAACGAGTACGACTATGCCTCATTCCAGGTTATTCTGGATCGTGCGGACCTGGTCATCCAAATGGATGACAAGGCCGACAACGAACGGCAGTCCCAACCGGAATATGTCGCTAAGTAAAGATACCAACGGACGGCGCATAACAATGCAGTGGTTCCTGATGAACCAATCGATCTCCACGATGCAACAGCATCCTCGAGTGATGGAAGAGTTGTCGCAGCGGTCTCGCCGAAACGTCCCAAGAGAGTTCAGAAGAACAAGGCGACACAAGCGATGACATCGACGGAAACAATACAGCAACCATGGACGGCAGACAACATTACCAAGGAAGTATTTGACCTTCGTCAACGGTACGGATATTGCCTTTGGTGCAATAGTGTCAACCACACTACGACACAATGCTCGGAAAAGGGCAAGGCACGCGTATCCCGTCCATCTTACTCGGGAAACTGAGTTATGCACGGAGAGGGGCGACGCCTCTGCTCACTCCGCCGAAACCAGTTGCCTTGCTAACAATTGATATCACTACCAGGGAGCATGCATTAGTCGCTGGTTCTCGTCATACATACGAGGATTATGCCGCCCAGCTGGTGCCACCATTAGACCAGCCTAGCCACGTGCACTTAGATAGCATATGTGTAGCCTGTACAGCGTCGGCAAGTGACCTGGTCAGTTCGCCACTGATTTCTGAGGACTCGAAGGCGTAATTAAGACTTCAGGAGCTTGACCCGCTCACAAGAGAGGACTTCGCTTGGATGCCTCTACCCTCAACCGGAACCCTGCCAAGGCCGCATTGTAATGCCTTGATGGCAAATCTACGCTCCTACTTGCACGCTGCAGTACAAACTCCGTTGATGGACGACGGAGTAACGGTTGTTGATCTCCGCTCCTATCTTGCGAAGATTGACCGCGAGTCCTCTACCCAAAGGTACACCGAGACCGACGCGCCTTTGCTCTATATCCGCATTCAAATCGGAAAGGCAACCTGCAATGCCTTGATTGATTGCTGAGCATCTCGCAATTTCATGAGCCAAGTCTTTATGGCCCGCGCAGGCCTTGGCCTGCGTGTTCGAAGGAAGACGCAACCTACGCAAGTTACACTCGCGGACGACCGCACGCAAAAGTCGGTCGACCGATGCGTTGACAGCATCCCGGTATACTTTGTGTCCCTTGCGTGCGAGCCGGTGTCTTTCGACATCCTCGACACCAAGTTTGACATGATTCTAGGCATGTCTTGGTTGCGTAGCGCCGATCATCCCCTGAACTTTCATGACCGAACCGTTCACGTCCGTGATCGGAACGGAGTGTTAGTCCCATTGCGCCCCCTCCGAGTCACACTTCGATTGCTTGTCACGTGGTTTCCGTTGCAAGGATTCGCGATGCCATAGCTCGGAACGACGTCGAGGAGATGCGCCTTGTTTTCTTACATGCCCTCCCCTTGACTGACGGACCAACCGCGTCGCCGCCGGACCCACGTATTATCCACCTCTTAGACGGATATGGAGACGTTTTGAGGCTCCCACCGGAACAGTTCTGGATCGGCCTATACGTCACGGGATTAATCTCGAGACAGGTGTCGTCCCTCCTCGTGGATGCATTTACCGCATGAGCGAAGAGGAACTCGAGGTGCTTCGCGCATAACTCAATGACCTTCTCGATAAAGGTTGGATTCGCCCTAGTTGTTCGCCATACGGTGCACCAGTTCTCTTCGTCCAGAACAAGAACAAGGACCTATGGTTGTGCATCAACTATAGAAAACTTAACGCACAAACAGTAAAGAACGCCGGCCCTCTCCCCAGGATTGATGATCTCCTTGAGCAGTTGGGCGGCGCAACGTACTTCTCGAAGTTCGACTTGAAGTCGGGTTACCACGAGATTGAAATCCAGCCTCAAGACCGGTACAAGACCGCCTTCAAAACGTGGTATGGGTATTTTGAGTGGGTCGTGATGCCATTTGGACTCACCAATGCCCCGACAACCTTCCAAGCAGCCATGACAACGGAGTCCCGAGACTTGCTCGATCGTACCGTCCTCATCTACCTCGACGATATCTTGGTCTATAGTAGGACGCTTGACGAGCACCTCATACACCTTCGTGTGGTGTTGGAACGTTTGCGAGCAGCCAAGTACAAAGCAAACCGCGACAAGTACGAATTCGCCAAACAAGAGCTTGAGTACTTAGACCATTATGTGACGCCGAAAGACATTCGTCCCTTAGCGGACAAGATCCAAGCCATCGTGRATTGGCCGGAACCCCGTTGCACGACGGACATACGCTCTTTCATGGGTTCGGCTGGATACTATCAGCACTCCATCGAGTCTTACTCCAAAGTGGCAACTTTTTTGTCGAGACTTCAGTCCCCGAAGGTACCATTCGAGTTCGACGACGCAGCTCGTGGCGCGTTCAATACGTTGAAGGCGGCAATGCAAGACGCACCGGCCCTCCATATCTATGATCCCACCCTACCCACCCAAGTGACTATGGATGCTTCCAGAAGTTCCACGTACGGTATTAATGCGGTATTGGAACAATGCCACACGGATGGTTGGCACCTGGTCGAGTAGTTCTCCCAAAAAGTGTCTCCCATCAACACTCTCGACGACGCTAAGAAGAAAGAGCTACTCACGTCCGTCACCGTTCTCAAACGGAGGTGCCACTTTCTTCTTGGTCGTCGGCGTTTTAGATGGAACACGGACAACAATCCGTTGACCTTCTACAAAACGCAGGACACGGTCACTAGCCTGATCGGTCAATGAATGTATTACATCGACCCATTCGACTTTGAGCCGTGTCACATTCCCAGTCCCGCCAATCAAGCAGCGGATGCCCTCTCACGGAGGCCCAATTTTTGTGCCCTCATGACTACGACGTTCCAACTCGACGACGATCAGCAGCAGCATTTCGTCATAGGCTACAAGTCCGATGCGACTTACTCTACGCTTTATGCGAAGCTCTCATCGGATCACCCGCCGGCTGGTCATTATCGTATCTTCGACGGGTTCCTACTTCTCCGCACGAGGGGAAAGGACTTGCTAGTGGTGCCCCAAGATCGCAACTTATGGACTCGTCTTCTCGGCGAATTCCACGACGCACGACTTTCGGCACACCTTGGCGTGACCCGCACATTGGTCCGCCTCCGCCAGCGTTTTCACTGGCCAGACGTTCTTCACGATGTCACGGGGTATATTGAGTCATGCGCAGTTTGCCATCATAACAAAGCTAGATCTCAGGTCCCTTATGGCGAACTGAAACCTATATCGATTCCTCGGGCACCTCGCCTCTCCATTGCTATGGATGTTAAAGGCTCGTTCCTCCCCGATCGCCTCGGTCATGACGGCATCCTCACATTCGTTGACCGTTTGAGCAAGTATGCTCATTTTCTCCCATGCAAGTATCGTGCTACAGCTCTAGAGCTCGCCCGACTCTTGCACACCGGCTGGATTACATGCCAGCCCGGAGAGAGCAATTGTCAGGGGGACTTGAGTGTCGACATCGGTTTCAGTCTGTTTGGTGATTTGGGAGTGCCGCCCGAAGAGAGCGATTGTCGGGGGGACTTGAGTGTTGGCATGCAGGCCATATTAGACCAGATCGGCGCTCTGCAGCCGGAGACTTTCACTCATGCCATGCACAGAGAGTTACAACAGAAAAATTCCCATGAGAAATGAAAGTTGAAAAAACATTCCATAAAAAAAAAATCCTTCATATTTATAAATTACCATTTCAATGTTTTTCCAATTCTTAAATTTTCAATTTAATTTGATAAGCTCCCGTCTAAATATGAGTTTTCCCTTCCAACTACATCTATTTGTTCAAGATGGAATGAAAGTCTAGACGAGTTTATGAAATGTTTTAATTAGACTTTCATTCTACTACAACAAATATCGTCTAATTTATATTGGATTAACCTATTTATAATTGGAAATCCCTACTTAGAATGACAGTCCAATTAAAATATTTCATGAACTCATCCAGACTTTCATTCCATCTCTAGCATGTAATTCAAATAAGAAGGGATACCCCATTTTTGGAAGGAAAGTTTTGAAGTAAGATGGAAAATTTTAAGATTGGAATGACATTTTTAAAGATGGAATGAAAATTTAGAAATTAGAATGTAATTTTACTCTAGAATGATTATTTAATTCTGGGAAATTTTTCTGTTGTAGGAGTGTCATCAGCGATGGTTCAGGATGATGAAGAGGCCACACCCCCTGGAGAGACAACATCATAGAGGTTGGACAAGCTTGACAGTCGTCGAGCTTGCCTCGTGGCACGAGCTGACCCCAAGATACAGGAGTTGGCCCGTCTAGCAGCAGAGGAGCGACAGAGACAGTTGGGGACGTTTATGGAGATGCCCTCCGATGTGCAGGCGGCTGGCAACGTCGATCCGATGACAGAGGTTCGCGATGGGAGGCAGGGGGAGGAAGTTGTGCTCGGGGAAGCTTCAGTAGGGACGCAGGGGGAGGCCGCGGTAGGCGAGGCGACTACAGCAGGAATGTGGGGGTAGGCGGCCAGACGCGAGGCAGCTGGAGGCGAGACGGGTGGAGGCGAGGCAGCTGGGATGCCGGGGGAGGCGCAGGGGTTGCATGAGACCGGGGTCTCTGGGGTGTCTACACCAGACAACCCACGTCTTGTGCCCGACCAGCCTCTTCACGACGGGCGGAGGACTATGGATGCTTTGCCTCACACCGAGGACATGCCTCCAAGTCTAAAGCAGTGTCGATCCCGTGAACGTGACCGGCCGGTCACCGAGGCCAAAATTTGTGAACGGCCGTTCACGGGTTCTCCGCCCACCTGGGCGTCGGTACGGTCGGGATCGGGGTAGGAGGGAGGTGGTGCGAGGGCCTTCTACACCCCCGTGCCTTCAAATCTTAAAAAACAAAAAAAAAAAAAAACAGAATAGGTGTCTTAGAAAAAAAAAAAAAAAAAAAAAATTGCGAGGTGGAGGTGGGTGGGGTGTTGG